TAATTTCACCGCGGTCATTCATGGATCGAAGACCGGCTGGTAAATTTTGCATCTCATGATAGAAGACTGAGTGATAACGTTGCTGATTATGAGATCATAAATATTTTATTTTTTTGTTAGATAAATAGATGTGGTTGGAAATGTGATGAGGTTGGATGTTCTTCAGTCCAGAACTTTGTAAACATTGGCTCGATAGTAAACTGTTATCAAACCCTGAATACTTTTCTGCTTATTGGTTACAACCTAAGAGAAAAGAAAATTGGTGCCCGAACAGGGACTGAAGTACATCTACCTCATCCTAAATATAAAGTTGTTTGATGTGCATTTGTCTGAGAACTTACACTGGGTTATTTGAGAAAACAAAGTGGAGTTTTGTGAAATGTGTGGCTTTGACCCAGAGTGCACAGCAATGCTTAAAGGGGTTTCAGCCAGGTTTCAACTGGAAGATGTGACAAGGGTCTTGGCATTACTTGATGATGTTGGTTGATGATGTCCTTTCCGTGTCTGGGCCGGGTGAGGTTCCCCGCGTTGAGTCGAATTAAGCTACAGGCTCCACTCCTGGTGGAGATCCTTGTCTGGTTCCCCGGTGAAGTGTGAAACTCTGTGATGTGATCCCATTTGTGGTTATTGCACCGAACCTGGGGGGATAAGGCCTTTTCTGTCGCCGCCCCCACTCTCTGGAACTCTCTCCCACAACATATTCGAGACACCTCAGACCCAGCAATATTCAAATGTAAATTAAAAACTCATCTGTTCCGCTCCGCTTTTTAAATTTTTTTCTCCTGCTTGCTGTATTTCTATATTGTCAACCTTTGTATTTATTGCTTGTTGTTTAATGCTTTTATTGCTTTGCTTTTATCCTGTGAAGCGTCTTTGAGTTCTTGAAAAGTGCTATACAAATAAAATGAATTATTATTATTATTATTATTGCAGCCCAAGGTGAAGAGTATAGTGTTCTTATCCAATGGATGAACGACTCTCCAAAGCCAAATTTGTGCAATGTGCTAAATAGGAATTTCCCAGTTTACTTTGTCAAAGGCCTTTTCTAGTGAGAGAATTATGGTTTTGGTTTGTTCCAGTTGTGTAATATTTGTTACATTGAATAACCTACAGGTACTGTCTGATATATTCCTGTTTTTGATGAAGCCGGTCTGGTCAGGGTGGATTAAAGTTGGAATGACTGTTTCTGCTCTGCAAGCAAGTGCTTTGGTGATGATTTTTAAATCGATATTGATTAAAGAAAATGGACNGTTTTATTTTATTGTAACTTGCATTGCCCTATGTTAACAATGCTATTTTCACTTTCACACTTTCCATACTTGCACAACACAAGACATTAAATCCTCAATTTACTTTGACTACAATGACTCCGCAGCTGCTTCCATCTTGTTGAATAGGGTGGCTCATAGCCCCCCCTTTCCATTTGACTTCGACCCAGTCTGTTTTCCCATGGCATGTCCTTCTCATCTTGAAGTATTCTCTTTATAACAAATGATTTTTTTTTATAAGAGCAATTGTATTTTGTAATTAAATTCATATTACATACAATTCCGCGTCGATTTGCAGACCATATGAGCT